CACACACACACACACACACACACACACACACACACACACATGCGCGCGCGCGCGCGCGCGACGGAGCTCACTGATGACGGGCAGGTCCAATTCCAGCCCCACTGTCTCCAGCAGTTTGAATCCGTCCATGTCTGCAAGATCAGGCATTAATCAGGAGGTCAGTAAGACAGCTGATAAGGAGTCGCAGGGGCCGGGGCTCAGGTCAGGCGGCATGCCGCGGCGCATTCGCGAGCTCTGCGCCAGCCGCTGCCCCGCAAGCGTGGGCGGCCGCGGCGGCGCGCCCGCCGGCGCGCCGTGGGGGGCGCGGGGGGCCCATGCATTCGGGCCGGCACGGCTGCATGGGCGCCGCGGGGCTGGTGGGTGCCGGGAGCGGCCGCGCTGACTCGGATGAGAAGGGTGGCTGGGCAGCAAACGATGACGGCGGCCGCGGCGGCGCTGCGCGTCCCTGCCCCCGCTGGGAGCCCTGAACCTGACATTTGCAACGCCCACCTGGCATGTACACGTCCGAGAGCACCAGGTCGAATCCACTGCGGTTCTCCCGCAGCAGGTCGAGCGCCGATGCGGCGTTGTTGCAGGTGCGCACTTCGTACCTGCAGCGCTTCAGCATCTCCTCCACGACCCGCAAGCACAGTGGGTCGTCGTCGACCACCATGACGCGCAGGCCAGAAGGGAACGGCGAGGTCGGACCTTCTCCCCGCTCAGAATGGGGCTTGGCCTCGGTGCCCATATCGACGAGGCCAGCCCCACACGGGGCGCTTATGATTTGCCTATCAGTCTTCACAGTTTAGGACGCATCCCTGCACCAATGAGCGCTTTGTTCGCGAGCAAGCTCGAGACAGGTCGCCTCCCTTTTGTAGCAAATAACACCTGTATCGCCGTGTATCATTGGCAAATACCTAGCATCGGCTGACACTTTCCAAATAGAGCGACGCCCGCATTCGGCGCCTCACCCGGACGCGCGCCTCACTTTGCCGCCCGGGTCCCCCTCCTTTTTCGGCGCCCTGCGTTGTTGCGGGGCAAGACCCGACAGCGATCAGCAATCCAGCATGCTGTGCGTATTGCATGCGCACCGCAGGAACCGGGGCAGGCTGTGCATGCGTCAACGCCCTCGCTGGATCGGCTGACCCCAACCCCTGCGGCGCTTTTTCAACGCATGCTGCCACACGCTGACGCAGGGCCCTGACCAGCCATCCTGTCCTCGGCTAGCAGCTGCCGTGCGCACAAGCACCTGCTGATGCTGGTGCCGGTGCCGGGGCTGTTGTGGCGGGCCCGCGCCACCCACGAGCTGCATTGGAGGCCTGATCACAAGGCAACCCTGTTGAGGCAGAGGCCCCATCCCCCCCTCTCCCGAGCGGCGGGCGCCGGGCGTGCGGGTCACGTTTCAAGATCCTTTGCCCTGCCTACGCCATCCCAGGGCCGCAGCACGGTCACGAGTCGTCGACAATGCAGACGAGCTGGCGTCGATGACGTCATCGCTGTGGGTGACGGCCGGCCCCCCCTGGTCACGGGCGCGGCCGTTTTGTCGCAGGGCCGTGCAAGCTGGGCATACAGAGCCATGCTTTCTGCTTCGGATCACTTCCCCAACTTTGGCCGTTTGCTATTATTCCTCGAGACTGCGGCAGGTGTCCTCCCGCAACACGGTGCCCCTCACGACACGGCAGCCCCGACCAGTCAATCAACACTGCAAGCGGCCGTGCCGGCGTGTCACTGCTGAGTAGCAATGAGATTTGAGAGCGATTCGAAACCGGCTTTCGTAAGTTCCATCGCGGCCTGTCGCATGAGTGATGGGCGGCATGGACTGTCCTGCAATCGTGCAATGCATACGTGTGGTTGGGCGAAGGGATCTTCACCTCTAAGGAATATAAAAGGGTCACCTTGTTGATATCATAACTGAGGGATTCCAGCATGACAACGCAGGGCAGTATGTGGGAAACCCAAGTCATGAGTCGCACAGCGGCCACAGCGGCGTGTCCAGGGCGTGGCGATCGAATGCCATTGGCATGCCCTTCCTGCAACGAGCACGCTGCTGCATACCTTGCCTGCACGCACCACAAAAATTGTATTTTTAGCCTTTTCTCAGTCCACACCTCCGCGCGTGAACCATTCTGGGCAGCGATCTGCTCGATCTGGGGGTCAACTCCCTCCACCGCAGTTGTGCCTTAGGGAAGTGCAGATGATCCCATTGGCTGTAAGGCTCCGTCAAGCCCTTCAGGAGACAACCTGCCTGAGCGCGGCGTGGCAAGGTGGGCTGGGAAGTGTGCTGATGCGCCGTTTCCTCGCTGCAGCAGTCGCATTTGACACGCGGGATGCATTACATGCAGTTCATTGGGCGGCATCACCGGCTGCTTGCTCAGCATGGGCGCCGCGGACACAGCAGCAGTGCAGTGGCCCCGCTTTCGCCGCTGCTGCAGCTTGCAGCAGTGCCTCGGTCGACAGTGATGTGAAGGAGGCGATGCGGCATGATGAGCAGCAGGCTCATCCACCAAGCAGCCGGCAGCAGCCTCGAACAGCAGCGATTCAGCAGATGGCAAGCACCAGCGGGGGGTGTGCAGGCCTCTTACGCGGGGGCAGCATTAGCGCGGCCAGCGGCTGGACAGCCCGGCCTCTTGGCAGCAGGGCAATCCACACCAGCAACCGCCAAAACGCGCCTCTAATCATCAGCAAAGGCGGCGCCTGCAGCCCCCTCGGCAGCAGCAAAAGCAGCGGCGGCGGCGGCGCCGCGGGGTCGGGCGCGGGCGCGGGCGCGGTGAGGGGCGTGCTAACCGCCAGCGACGCGGCGCCGCGGCCGCTGCCGAAGTACCTGCGGCTCCGAGGGGCGGACGACCCCTCGAAGTGGAAGCGCATGGTGATACGCATCCCCCCGCAGGTGGGCCGCCCGCCGGAAATGCACGCCGTGCGATGGGACAAACCCACTTGCAGCCTGGATCAGGATGCACCGACGCATGCGGCCGGTGACTCACAGGAGGGGGCCCGCGCACCTGCAGGCCGTGGCGCTTGTCCGCCTCTCATTGGCCCGGGGACGCCCTCTTGAGGGCGTGCCGCCGCACGCCTGCTGCCCGTCTCAGCTCTCACCCATGTGCTTTGACCATTCGTCGACGAATCAGCCAGCCACCCAATCAATCACCCAGAATTCGATCACCCGATCACCGATGAACCATCATGGTCATACACTATTATTATACTCAATCCTCTTTGCGAGGCAGGTCCAGGTTAGAGTAGAGGAGGGGTCCAACGCGCTGCTCCTGTCAGGTGAGCCGGCTTCGCAGCAGCTTCGCAGCAGTTGCCGCCGGCGCCGCCGCTGCGCCCTCCCTCGCAGGTGCGGCCCCAGGAGCGGGCCAGCCATCTCCTGGGCCCCTTCGAACTCAGAAATGCCCATCGGCTGCCGGCCACATCGAGCGTTTGGATCCCGAGCCCCCTTCTGGCCCACCCCCACCCTCCCACGCGCCTGCCCCGCTCCCGCCCGCCGCCCCCGCGCCCCCGCACAGGCCGCAGCGGCACCGCGCGCGTCGACCTCTCCCGCTTGGACCCCACGGGCCTCGTCGGCATGCAGCTTTGGGGCGGCGGCAGTGGCGGCGGCATCGGCGGCGGCGATGGCGGCGGCGGCGGC